TCTTTAGGGCAGCGAAGCAAAGTTATCTTTGGCACTGAGCGTACTGTGACATGAAAAAAGGTCTTAGTAACACTGCAGCTATAATACAGGTCACATTTACATTTTTTAGTGATGTGCAGGTTCTGCTTAAAACACACTGAGTTTGGAGTTCTCTGAATAAGATAAAGTTCAACACAACTAAGAAAACAGAGCAAAAAGCAAAAATCTTTAAAAAATAGCCTGACATTGGGGAGTGCAGAATATGTTATTGGCTCACTCAGCATCTGGGTACATGTCACAACGAATATCTGTTGCTGATAGCCTCAAAATAATAAATTCATAGCTTATTCTGATTATAAAAGGACAGTGCAGGAAAGATCGGATCTTTGGTTCAATCCCATTTTCAAAGGAAAAGAGATGCTAAGGCCACATCCTGATCCTGTGGTAACTCTTTGCTGACTGCCATCTCGTGCAGATTTCTTGCACTACATGTCCCCATCTCCACAGTTGCATGCATGGATTAAAAGGGATGCACCAAGCATGCTGGTACAGATGGATATGTTCTTGGCTGCTGCACAGAATTAATTAGTGTTTTCTGTACTCTATATGCTCTTATACTGTGCTTACCCTAGTAGCTGCGTGCACTGAACAATGTGTCTAACATCTGTCACATACTCACCTTCCTCCTTGCCTTTTCCCCTTGAGGAGGAAGGTGTGCAGCATGCCATCTAGTCGGGGAAGGTAAGAAATAGACTTTGAAAGGATATTCTGGGTCATCAAGTTTCATCTCTGGTTGTTATAGACATCTACATTATGTAATGCTCTCAGCGTGACCATATCAAGCTTCATTCTGAAAATGGCTTTTATTTTGTACTTCCATTAGAAAGCCATTTCTCTACCCTTCTTTGTTTAATGTGACAGTTACAAAGTCTTCAGTTTCCAGCCTCAGGTTGTTTCTGCCTTGTGTTTAACTATTTGATTGTGTGTCAGCGTTGTTCTTAATTTTAACTAGCTTTTTTTCTTCTGTGATCTTTGTTGCATTTTAATGAATTTATAGGTCCCTTCCAACCTTAAGCATTCTATGATTCTATGATTCTATAGGCAGCAATCCTACTTCCTTTTAATTTGTGTTTTGGTATACTGTTGTATTATAAGTGTATCTGTGTATTTAAGATAGTTGTTATTATATTAAAATTAAAGCTAGGCAAAAGCATTCCACATGGGTTTAATTTTACTTTTGTTGAAAATCTTAACTCTAATTGCAGCCGAGTTAATGCTGTACGAAATGTATGAAAAAAATCCCATACTACCCTTATATTTAGGTCAATAACAATTTAGGTAGGGAACATATTACGTTTGTTATTCAATACGCATTGCCTAACTATCTAATAAGATTCACTTTGCTCCCCTGGTTCACCCTGGATAACACTTAATTGCAGGAATAATCCTACTTATCTTAAATGAGACCTTGTTGCATAAAGCTCCAGAAGAAGTTGGACAACATGTTGTAATTTACTCCCAAAGCATAAGGCGGTTGCTAATGGCAGTCAGTAATGAAGCTTCCTGCTCCAGCCTGGGGATGGAGGCAAATCACAAAAGCAGAACTGCCCTAACTGCCCAGCCTCAAAACCTGGGGCAAATCCCTTGGCCCCTGCAGATTAAAACCTATAAATATATAGAAAACTTGTGTCCATCTCACTGTGTGGCAGCCTGCATGCAAAGGGCCATGTGATGGGATGGGCTGTAGCGAAGGGCAGAACCTAGCAAAGATCCTCCAAGGGTGCCATACCTCTGGGGGCATCTACTCTCCCTGCAGCAGTACTGGGCTCACTCCTCTTCTCCAGGACGTCCAGGCAGACTGGCCTGCTGCATCTGCTATAGGGACACAGACTGCATGAGAGATCATGCTGCTGCACTGAAAAATGCCTGAGAAAGCAGAGCAGTTTGATGCAAAAGGCAGTGGGATGTGTGAATTTTGAGTGGGATGCACGAGACCTGACAGGTTTGTCTATATCATATTATGACTGTATGAAACTCCTTAGTAATATCTGCTGCAAATCTAATTTTCTGGAAGAAAATGCATTATTTCACTGGATGTATAAAGAATGCCTTAACGTTCCCTGCTGTTCCTTGTTCCTTTGATAGCTTTGCCTTTTGAAGTGGTGTGTGGTTCAGGAGTCCTTTGTATTTGATATTATTCCCTCAAGAACCAGTGCTGAACTTAAGGAAACATTGAAAATAGGAATAGCATTCATGCTTCTCTTTTTGAACAACCTATTGTTACTCTTAATAAATATGTTTTGTCATCCACCTTGCCTTATTGACATTCATCATAAATTCAGTCCTCATGGCAGGCATATTCAAAGAAAAACTGGTGTTTTCACCCATCTCCATAGCTGAAGGCAGTTTAAGCTTTGTAAAATTTGTAAAAAAAAATAAGGCTTCCAAATGTATAAATAGAAAAAGAATTTGAGAATTTGCCTCTACTAGCTGAAACACAAAGTTTAAATATTCCTAAATTAAGCTACTTTATAAATTCTTATAGATAGAAAGTTTCTGCTCCAAAAAGAAACATCAGGCCTGATTTTGACATGCACACTGGTCAGGCAGATTACTGCAAATGACCTTTGACATGCATCTAAATCACAGTGCTTCAAATTTGCATCCGTCTTTCAGTCACTGTTAATAGGACTGCTCGTGCTACAGAATGTCTTAGAATGTCTACTTGTCCTTACTTAGAAAGTCTACTTTTCCTTTGTTCCAATCCAATTCCTTTGGATTATTATAAACTCAGCAGGACAATGATAATATGTCTACCAACTTGTAGTAGTCTCTGTTGGTCTTCTCTCTAGATTGGATTTCACTTTTCTGATGCTCTGTCCTCTGGCTGAACCAATGCTACTGGTGCTTAAATTGTCCTTCCATTTGGAGAGAGATTAACCTCAAAATAAGCTTCTCTTCAATTTTATGTGCTACCCTCAACTGCTAATAAGGTAGTTTTTCTAGAGGACACACCATTATTACAGACCATTGCCATAAAAAATTATTGGAGCAGTAGAAGCAGTAGAAAGGCCTCTTCACACTGTTCTCCAGTGCCATTATAGAAAGAGGATTGCTTAAAAAAATACTACATTTTATGTGGTATAGCTGCTCTAAGATGAAAAAGGCAGTGCTATTTAGTGCTACTAAACATATTGTGAGTCAGAAACAACAGCAGGTACCTCTCATTTCTTCTAATAGATCAGAGAAGAAACAAGTTAAATTGTACCACAAAGGTATAAAACTGTTTTTGACTGTTTTCCTGGAGAAGTGCAACGATTGCTTTTGCTATAGAAATATAGAGGAATGGTTAGAGAGCCGTGGACATGGCTGCCCAGCAGGCCTGCTCAATTCGGGCTTTCAGGTTTCAGTGAAAGAACAAAGGGAGTGCTAACTAGGAGATAAGGAAGTAGACCAAGGTCAGAGGGAATAAAAGAGCTGTTGAACTAAAAGGATGAGCTAAACAAGTAAGGGGGGGCTGTAAGGGTCTTAGTTAGATCATTGTCTACCAATTAGGAGCCTGTGTAATTACATCACTAACTGTTAGAATCATATAAATGTACTGCATGTAAGCTAAGGAACGAAGTCAGTTCCAGCTTCTATGAAGTTGATGTCTGGGTTCTTCCTGACCTGCTCCAAGCTGCTACACAGAAATGTTAACAAAGCTTAATCCTTACTGTGTGAGCCTCTTTTTAGCTTCTTCTACCTCTCCACCCATTTTTTTTTTTTTTTGTCTTTATGGTCCAATGGTAAATCAGTATAAGAGAAGAAGCTTGGCATCCTTGGGTCAGTAAAGACCAAGCACGTAGTATCCTGTTGTTCTGCTGAATCCTGAGCATGTTGGCTGTGATGGACTCTCACCTTCTTCTAACGATGATTTTTGAGGGAAGAACTAGCCCTTTTCTATCCTGGACTGCCTTAATTTGTTAGATGTGTGATGTAATATCAGCTTTTGTTTAAACAGGCAATTATGGGGAAAGTGGAATGGAAGCCTTCAAAGAGTTGGCTGCTCAAGAAGGTCTCTGCATCGCTCACTCTGACAAGATCTACAGCAACGCTGGGGAAAAGAGCTTTGACCGCCTGCTTCGAAAGCTGCGGGAGAGGCTTCCCAAGGCGAGAGTGGTGGTCTGCTTCTGCGAGGGGATGACAGTGAGAGGGATCCTCATTGCCATGAGGCGCCTGGGGGTGCTCGGCGAGTTCCTGCTAATCGGAAGGTAAGGCTTGGGCTCTGATTTTACTGCACACCCTCTCCCCTGCAGGAGAGGCACAGGCTGAAGGCAGCACTTTTGTTTCAGAACGGTGCAGTTGGGCTATTTGCTATTTAGATATTTACCTGAAAGGGGTGGCAGAATGGCAGAGCTGATTGGAGGAAACAAATAGCAAGATGTATGACATCTTCATCAGTGTTGCTTAACATAATTGACATTTACTTCAGCAGAAGTTATTGTCTGTGTTTTTAATATATGACCTTTGCTTTTGTGCTTTCACATACTCTCAAGGAATTTTTCATACTCGAGTTTTCTGTAAAATACAAGAAAATTTAAAGTGTTTTAATAATGCTAGGGACACTGAATGCATCCCAATAGTTTTAACCCCCAAATTATTAAGTGGTTTTGATTACTTGAAATTCTTCTACAGTTTTATGATTACAGTCTGGCATTTTCAGCTACATACTTTATTCTGACCTTTAATATTGAGCACTAGGGCACTGATATTATGCAGACTTGTTTGTTTATAAAATATCAGGCTTGCTGATGGCTAAGTCAGTGTGTATATGCATTTTGATATTTCCAGAATAATTTCCAGTGCAGAGATGATATTGGATAGGCAAAGACCATTTTAGCAAAATGAGAATAGTTCCTTATTTCTTCTACAATTCACCAATCCTTTGTAGAAATGGAAATATGGTCATTCTAGTTCTCTCGCTCTGGTCTATCTGTATTTCCATATTTGTGATAGTTTTTATTTTAAGGCTTTTTTGACTTTAACCTTGACTTTTGCAATATCTTTGCCTGGCTTTCTGTTTAGATCAAGCCTGTTCAAATGATGAGAACTGACATTTTCTGTCTTGTCTGTTAGATTGATCGTGTCCTTTTTAATCCTTCTGTTCACTCTTTGTTTCTTTCATATTTCTTGCTTGAACACCATTCCTTCAAGGCCTTTAACAATTGTCTCCTTACCTCCTTAGCTTCTGTTGTCTTTTTATTCTTATCGCCATTCTGATCTGTCAGCCGCCTTCTTGCCCAATTCTCTCCATAAGGTCTTGCTGCCTTTCTCTGTTGTGACTGGAATGCTCTCTGTTAGCTTTGAGCTGTAATATCGGTCTCTATTCAACCACATCTATCCCTCTTTGAAACCACAATATTATGATTTCTGTAAGTCAGATAACTATTCTAGCCTGGATAATTTTTGCAGTTTTTGGACTTATTTCCTTTCATCATTTTTTGTTGTTGTTGTAATTTCTGATTTATTTGAAGCAAAGACTTTATCCCCAGAAGTTTGTGTAGATAAGATATAGCAGATTTGGAAAACCATCAGCATTAAAATAAAATAAATAAATTGGTTATGAAAATGGTACTATGTTTTAGAACTGTGAATATACTTTTCATCTGCATCATCCAAAATGCTCTACTTGAATAATGGAATGTTTCTGGACTGACATGGCTTAAGTAGGTTATTTTTTAATGAGCAGAGGAACCTAACTGTAATAGAATTAGCCTGTGTCATGTTATCCTTCCTCACTTGGTAAATGTCTAACAGCTTTAGGCAGTGCTATGTTTTCTTCATGTTTTGCTGTAGCACTTACTAGTGTCTTATTCTTCGGACTGATTTAGGTGCTCTCTCTTGAAACTGGCCATATAGAGGTAGAATGAAACAGACGCCTACATTAAGCCCCCAACTAAACCAAAGTTGGGCCTTTTGCTTGTCTCCCTCCTTTACGGATAGATGGAATATTTTCACTTCATACTTTGAATAAAAGCTTTAGCCAGGCAGTATACTACTCTACTCTGTTCAAGCATTTGACTTGGAAACTCCCCAACAACATTGCCCTGAATTTTTTAATCAGATCTTCTCACCTATATAATAGCTGGAAATATATTTGAAAATCACAGAGTATTTTTTGCACAGGCATTCATGTAATCTTCTTGTTTTATTTCGTATAAGTTTTGGGTGTGAGAGATTGCTTCCTAGAGCTGGATAGGCTGATCTGCTTGTAAAAAAAATCTGTCTATTGCTGTACATAGTCTGGATTGTGCCCAACAGCTGGTTGAAATAAAAAAAAATATCATAGGGCTTGCACATGTTTTATAAGTGCTTACAGATCTAAAAGAAAAAACACTTTCTTTGAACTGTCCTAATTACATGATTTTTTTAAAAAACGGCAGACCTAGCAATCTTATTCAGGGGTACTTTGCAGTCAAACTGCAGTATTATGAATTTGGTCATCTGAATATAAGTGTGAACCAAGGCATGGATCAGCATTATTCTGATATACTATTGAGTTGTTTCTATTCAAATACTCAGCTAAGAAAAAAAAGTCTTTCAAGATCATTCTTTTACTTGAGGGAAGTGGGAGTGAATGTGAAATCAAGATTTTTCTTTTCCTTTTTTCAATAGTGAGCTAAACAAAGCCTTTAATTTACCCACAGGTGTATTATCAGCCACAGTGTATGAACCCCACACTCTGCTCTGACTCACTATGTAGAGGGAGCCTTTATAAAGGGACACCTGGATAACTAGCTCTCTTCCTGTTATATTGTCAACATTGCTGTTGATCAAAGCAGACAGGCAGAGCTTAGCTTAATCAAATTCTAGATATTAGAAAGAGAGCTGGGAGATAAATTTGACTTTGGTGTAATTTGAGAGTGATAAATTACGCTGAGCCAGGGCTCAGTCATCAAATACTGGGGCGATTTTTTCAGGATAGGCGAACTCTTGTAAGGCGCCGAGTTAGGATATATTTGTGCCATTTCTAAGCAAGTGTCCCCAAACTCAGGCTGGGGATCTGACTAGAAATTCAGCTAACTTTACTACTGCAAGTATCTGTCCTGCTAATGAGGAAGGGAACAAAAGGAATTTCCATTTCTGAAACTAGAAGGAAGGCAGGATATGGTAGGATTAGAGGAGAAGTTATAGTCTTACCGAAGAGAGAATGGGAGATGATTCTCATTCTGCTGCAACATCAGAATGTAGTAGAGAGTCCAGTAAGAAAATTTATTAAGCTGTGAAAGTAAGGACCATAAGAGAAAGGAGAAGAAAAAACATCATCGTTTTGCTTAAAAAGAAGAGGGTGTTTGAAACAGTGTTGCATCAAGCAGAGCTGGTAAAAATTACACTAAGGAAGCAAGCTGTAGCCTTCAAGAAATTCAAGTGATAGCTCTTTTAACACAAAGTAATTATGATGTGAAATTATTATGTAGAAAGATACTCAGCATGTTGATAAACAAAATAGTTTCTGCAAAACCTTTCAAGATAGGTGACTCTCCTGTATGTACTCTGGACTGGCGCATCGAAACAAAATCATGCAAATGACTTGTCAGCATCTGAACAGGTAATGCAAAGCAAGAGAAAGACATGGAAATAGAATTTTAACTACTGATCTGAGATCAGTGGAGGAGAGACATGCTAGATAAATAGTTGGAAATGAAAATCCTGTTTAGTAAATCAAAACTCTCTAAAACTTCCATATGTAATAGTTTGTGTAAATGTATCAGGAATCTGAAAAGGAAAGGGAGATGCTAGTATATAGGCTGTTTTTCATTATAATACTTTGTTATGAAATGAGTACTTCACTTCTGTAAGTTTTGCAATGTGTTAGTATTGCTCTATTTGCTGTTGTAGAACTATGAATTTTAAGTGTGGGTAGGGCGACTTCTGAAAATACGGGCATTTGGCAAGGGCAATACATTTTATGTGAGCCTAGTGGATGTCATTGGACAAATCAGTTCTCCTTTTGTATCTAATAAAACCCTTTGCATAGGATGGCATAAACTTATGTAAAAACATATGTATATGCAGTGTGACAATAATTTCCATAACTGTCCTCCCTTCACCAGCCAGGATTAACAACTATTTTTTGCCATTTAATTTCACACTTTTTAAAATATTGGCATGTTAAGTGGGAAAAAAAAACAAGTTTTGTGGTCATATGTGATATTGGGGACCAAAGAAAATCTAGTTAGGACATAAAAGTGGAGATCCTAATGACTATGACTGTCTTTGCAAGTTGACTGCTACATTACATCACAGGAAATGGAGACAGTTTATAGTCTTCAGTTTTTTGGGGGTGTGAACACATATTTGGGAAGACGTCATTTAGCAGACACTGCTGGTTGATATGCTGGAGCCAATTCAATTTTGCTTTGATGCAAGGTGTAGCACTAGAGTAAAACTGGCCAGATCTGAGATAGCCTAGATAATAATGGCATATAATTCAGCTTGTATCACTGATCAAAAGTCCTGTTGATCTAGCAACATGCCTTGGTAATAGTTCAGAAATTTCTTAAGCTGGCTTCACTTATTTGTTTCCAGCAAGTCTGAGTTGTGATGGGCAACATCTCCTTCTGACAGACTCCTTAGGGTCTTAATTCTGTCAGCACTTTTGTTTATCATCCTCTTGTCACCTTTAGGAAATGTAATGAGATGGCATGGGTTGTGCTGCCCATAGGATGATGACAAGTAGCTCTATCCCTTTCAGTCAGTTCTGATTTCACTTTTTGCAATGGTGAATAGGTGCACAAAGGCATCTGGAGCTCGGAAGAACAGCTGACTCTAATCTGCTAGTAGAGTCCAAGATAGTGTAAAGCAGAAATTGTTTCAGGGTGTTTATAAAAATCCCAGTTTCTGATGGTTGTTGGACCTTGACCTTTGTCACCAAGTACAGTGTTGAGATACTGAGAAATAATGTCATGATCACCAAAAAAGTGCAAGCAGTATCAAAAATACCATGTTCCATAACTGTCTAAAATGAGTTCCTGCTTCTTTCTCACTGTCTTTAGTGCTAGTGGCTCATATGTTACTTATGAAGTGACTGAGAATATTCTACTCCTAGTTCGATAGTTTGGTCACAAGGATAATGTCAGCTGAGAGTATTGCCCTTTTAATTTAGACTGGCTGAACAGAATACATTGCACTCTCTCTACAGTGCACAGTGTTTTCATTTACCACAGGTTCTCCTTGAGCCCATGAAAATTTGATGGGAAACATCCACCTT